GTGATAAAGAGAGAAAACTCAGAAAGGTCTCATACTGTGTCCCAGGGTCCCTATCCTCTTTAACAGGCATCACTGTGAGTCACTACATGTCCTCCTTTGGATAAGATGGTACAAGTTGTAATAATATAAGTTGGGTTCATGATACTTGTAGAATGAAGAGCTTTTCCATCCATCAATCCCTCATCCATTCGTCCACCAGAGACAGGGGAACTGGCAGTACATTGAAGTAGCAGCCGAAGAGAAAACAAGCACACAGCTACAACTTTGGGCAACAAGATGGGGAACATAAATCAGGCTGTCAATTAAGTGAGTGAACCACTGCAGTCTTTGAGACAGGATGGCAGGATGATGCACTGATACACAGGATGAGATCATTGCGAGCAAAGATAGCAACAGATCTGACTGAGAACTGACTGTAAACATCATTACACCTTCACTGCAATCCATTTCCCTAATAAAATTGCCTTCCAAAGGGAAGTACACAACATATTTTTAAAAGCACATTTGGGGCCATGTACAAACTTACACCTGTGCAGTAACTAAACTCTGGGGAATCCTGATTCCTTTTGGAAAAAATATGATGAATAATTATTAATGACATTCCTTTGGGACTACACATAAGTGAAATGTGGTTTTTGTTAGATGGTTCTCCATCTGTGGAGGAGCTCAGCTTTCTGTCTGCAAGGTATCAACTTCTCTGTGTCTTTCCTTGGGTGGCCTACAGGACAGTCAGCTTTGTCTATTTTCTATAATGAACTTATCTTTAATTTGTGCTGTTGCCTCAGTTTTAAATTTCATTATCACTGAAACAAGGACCCACAGTAGCTGTGACACATCCATCCACCCACCCACTCATCTACCATCCACTTTTTCACTACATTGATATCTATAGCAAGTCGGCTACATGCCAGGCTCTTTCAGTGCCTGAAGTCATTCAATCTAGTGGAAGAGACAGATAAGAAATATATTATATTAGGTAATCATCAGTATTAGCAAGGGCTTGGCAGCAGGATCAAGGGGATGGAGATGGACAAGCATAAATGGAGGGTCAGGGAAGGTCACATTCAGGAAGTAGCATCAGGCAGAATCTCAGAAGTGAGTTATGTATGAAGACACGAGAGAAGGGAGAACATGTAGAAGATTGTGTATCTGTTGGATTAGCTGATCTACACTCAAGCACAGCAAGAAGGGCAGCAGTCACCTGTGATGCAGAGGGATGTGCCTGATACAGCACAAGGAGAGTAAAAGCCCACCCTGGGTATGTCTGTGTTTGGCGGAGGTGTAACTTCTGTGAATGCTTGAGATCAATTTCCTTGTAAATGAAATAGAGGTAGGATACTTCTATTAGGTCATTCATTTATTTACCAGAAAATATTTATGGCATAATGTTAACCTCAAGGAGCTCATATCCTATCCTAGAGGGGAAGAAGCCCCTCTAGGATTTAAAGAGTATATATTTATGGGGGTCTGGGGGGCTTTATTAGGGAAGCTCTGAATCCTCCCTAAGGATAACCATAAGTGGCACATAAGAAGGAGGTGTTAACTACTCTGCTCACATTGTTATGGGAATCTAGGATGACGTGTAAAGTACTTGTCTAGTACCTATTAAGCCCACAGTGAAAGTTGGCTCTTTTGCTTCTGATTAACTTAAAAACATAGACCCTTAGAAAGAAGCAGAAATCATCAAAGCCAGCCTCCCAGGCATTGTAATAATTCAGCTGGGCTTATTATGTCTCAAACAAGTCCATGTAAGTCAAAACAGTCAAAGGCAGCCCTAAAGCAACAGCTTTATAAGCAGTTATGGGCTTGAGTTCCTTCCAGCAAGCTAAGAAGTTTTTTCGTACTCCAAAGTACACATCTGGAACTGTTAGATGGCAGAGAATACAATTCTTCCCTCAGGTGGACAAACAAACAAATATGTGGGCTGCCTATGGCTAGAAGGAGGCAATAAGGTGAACCTCACATCTGGCCGGGACAATTCAGAAGTAATAACAAAGCAAGACTAGAGCACCAGTTGTTTGGCAGCCCATTGAGGAAGCCGGTCATAACTTGACAAAGGAACATCAGCAAGTATTGCCCTAGTGTACATGGACAGTGCTGACCATTCTGCAGGCACCTTCTCCTTGCCTTAGGTAAAGACGCGGGGTCTTCTTTTGACAAGTCACCTTGCTTCCTCCAGACCCCATGCCCCATCTTCAGGCCGTGCAGTTGTACTCTGCACCTGGCATCTCACCTGGCAACTGGTCAGGCCCACCTGACTACTGGTCGGATCTTGGGAGAGAGGCAGCAAATGGCTTATATAACTGACTCTGCTCTTCTCAGAGGAGCAGGAGCCAGCAAACATCTGACACCTCTAGCCCTGAGAAATCATGGAGTAGATTTTTTTCTGCATCCTTAGCAGAGTGGAGGGTGCTTGAGAGGGAGGATAAGAGCAAGTTGATGACTGGATTTTAGGAAACCCCTTTTTCACAGCTGGAGAAACATCCCAGGAAGTCTCAAAATCCACCTACTTGATTCTTAATTAAATAGGAACCACCAAATCTAATTCACAGTGACACTCTACTTCTACTATGATTTCCCCCTTATCTATGCTTTTACTTTTATGGTTTTGGCTGCTTACAGTCAACTATGGTCCAAAAATATTAAATGGAAAGTCCTAGAAATAAGTAATTCATAAGTTTTAAATCATATGCCATTCTGAGTAGTGGGATGAAATCTTGCCCTACTGCACTCTACCACTCTACCACTCTACCACTGGGAAGTGAATCATCTCTTTGCCTAGAGCATCCATGCTGTATACACAACCTATTCATTAGTTCATAGTGTCTCAGTTATCAGATGACTATCAGGGCATCACAGTGCTTGTGTCCAAGCAACCCTTTTTCTATGTAATAAAGGCCCTAAAGCACAAGAGTAGAGATGCAGACAATTTGGATATACTAATGAGAAGCTATTAAGTACTTCCTTTAAGAGAAAAGGTGAAAGCACAATAAAATATTTAATAGAGAGGGGGAGCATATTTATATAACTTTCATTATGGGACTTGTTATAATTGCTCTGTTTTATTACTAGTTGTTGCTATTAATCTGTTATTGTGCCTAATTCCTAAATTAGACTGTCAATTAGACTAAGCATGTACAAGAAAAATAGCAGTATTTATAGGCTTCAGTACTATCCATTGCGGCTTTACCTATCTACTGGGGTCTTGGAAATGTCCCTGAAGATTAGTGGTGACTACCCTGAGTTCCAATTCGGTTGAATTTTGTTCGTGTCTATATAGAAAAGGCTCTTGTGGTAGATTAAATAATTCACTTGCAGTGTGGGCATATACCTAATTCAAAACCTAGCTGATCACAAGGGAATGAGCACAGGGAAGACTCTGTTAGGAGCCCTGAGACTCGGATCACAAGGATCCTGAGACTCTGGTGCTCATGGTTTGTGTGACATGGGCTGAACCTGTCTTCTTGGGGCTCCACAGTTTCTGTAATATCTAGAAGAGATCATCTGGAGTGTCTCCCTAGTCTGCCTCTGTGAGCCATGCACTGCTGCAAGTTCCCCAGCTAATGTCCCCTGGTCCTGTCATTGTCAGTCAACAAGCCCTCCTCCACCATCTCCCCAACTGCCCCCAGAGCCCAAGCTGTCTTCAGACAAGAAGCCGTCTGTCCACTGAAAACAGAGCAAAATGCCTGATTCCTGTTTCTGCTTTGCAGTTGACTGGTGCTGTCTGCAATTGTTTCCTCCTCTTAGGTTATGTATGGAGGGAACATCAGGGAACCACAAGAAGACTGCACACAGCTTCGCAAAGGTCAGCTTCCTCAGCGGTTCCCCTGCAAGAAATCCAGACTCCTGTCACCCTCTCTGCCCAAATTCTGTCAGTTCTAGAAGGACAGCATTAGGCCCAATGCCTAGGAGAGCAACTGAAAGCCCTCACCAGTGTTTGCCAACAATTATAGTTTAAGTATTGTCAGGGTTTAGATGTAGAGTGTCTCCCCAGTCTCGTGTGTTTGGAAGGCCATTAAATCATGAGGGTGCTGTACTCCTCAGTGGGCTCATTCCCGGATGACTTCAGTAGCAGAATGTGTTGTTAATAGATGGGAGGCCTCACTGAAAGTAGGTCACTGGGGGGGTGACCTGGAAGGGCGTATTTCGGCCTTTGGATCCTCCTCTCTCTCTCCACCTCCTGGCTGCCTTTGGGTGTTCAGCTTTTCCTCCACCATGCCTTTCTGCCTTGCTGTTTCTGCCTCAAAGCCAGCTGAGCATGAACTGAATCTTCTAAGAACCATAAGCCAAAATAAACCTCTCTTCCTCTAAATTGTGGTGTCATGTATTTCCCAGTAATGGGAAAGCTGACTAATATATATCATATATATTATATACATATGATATATATTTATAAATGTTTGCAAGATAGTCTTTCTTTACAATCTAGAGTAGCGTCCATCATTCCCGTCATTGGGGGATTTTCTGAGATGGGGAGGAAGGGAGGATAGGGAAATATTGACAACCTGGAGGTTCCTCTCATCTCAGCAATCTGCAGTCTACATGGTTTACTCAGAAACCTCTGCAGTTGTGGTGATTGTGAATTGCATCATTCTGATTCTCCTTCTGGAGGACCATTTGTGCCATTAGTATTATTCAGACTGACTGAATTTTAGTCTTGTGTGACCCTGGGGGAAGGGTCTGAGCCCCAAACTCCTCATCCACAAAGACGGATTTGAGGTTTACTGGGCACTGAGGCTGTGAGGACCAAAGGCAGCCACACCTGCAGAACTCTAGGCACAGAACCAGCCCAGAGGAGACATTCAGGCAGTAGCTGCTGCTGTGATTCCGACTTAGTAGCCCTGAATTACATCTGCATGAAAATGGCAGAGGAATTGGTGCTCAGCAACAAGAGTGAGCCCCAGGATGTCACGTTGTGAGCAGCATGGACACCCAGGGGCCATCCACCATCCGGAACTGACACAGTGGTGGGAGGAAGGGGACGGTAATTAGACACTCACCTGGCTGCTGCCTCCAGCTGTTCTTTCCTAGAAAGAGAAGAGGGAGAGAAAATAAACAAAGCATAAATGGCATGGAATGGCTCCTTCCCCAAAGTCTGCTCCAAAGCTTCTCTTAGAAAGTGATGGAGGAGAGAAGACCTCCAGGACAAGATGGTGAGTATGGAGAGGAACTGTGGAGAGGAACCAAGGAGAGAGCCAGGCTTCCCCAGGCAGACTCAGGGCCCTGCTGCCGCCATATGGCTCTGCATGCTCAGGGTTCTTATTCATCTATTCATACCGCAAGTGGTTTGCTGAGCACCTTCTCTGCCCCAAGCCTCCTGCCAGGCTCAGAGGGTTTGTTGATTGATGGGCACAGAGCAGGAAGCCAAACCCTAAGAACTGGGCTTCCTTCTCTGCTCCCTCATGTACTAGCTGGATCATACAAAGCAAGCCAATTAATTTCAGTGATACCCTGATTCTTTTCAAATCAGGTTATGAAAAATGAAGTTACTCCTTCTGCTTACCTTTTAGAATAGCCTAAATATTAACTAAGGTAGCATGCATGAAAACAGATCCAATATTATTTGGCCACAGGGATGACAATTGGATACAGCCCCTTTCTGGTCACAGAAAGAACAAGTTCCAGGCACGCAATGGACTGTGTCTGGCCAAGTCACTTCTACCTCCCGGGCTTGAATCTCCTTATCTCCATTTCAGTTTTAATATCTAACATTTTCAGGGCTGGCATGGACATATAGCTATTAAAATGAACATTAAATAAAATTAAACATGAATTGCCTCAATTGCACTAGTAACAGTCAAATGTTCAATAGCCACGTGTGCCCAGGGATTAATGTTGAGCAATACAGCTGTAGAATATGTTACGTTAAATGCATCTCACTGTTACTTTTAGGGAGCCAAGTAATGTACGTGTTCTTCTGTTGATGGGAAGCAATATCTATCTAGTTTTTGAAATCTGCCCTCATCCCTGTTTTCATATAAGAATGTATGAACTATCTCTAACCCCAGCAACTTCCATTCCTCAGATTTCTACCAACCACTGTATAAGTGCACACATTCTTCACTAGCCTACACATCAGAAGACCTGGATTTGGTCCAGTTATGCCCACTATGACCTGTGTCTTCTGTAAGTTCTTGAACTTCTTGAGGGGGGGGAATGGGTCTCAGCTTCTTCTTATATAAAATGGAGTTTAGACTTGAAACATCATTCATCTCTGGTAGCCTCAAATTAGCACCAAGAAGGGAGTTCATGTACGGTACCATCGCTGCGGATGGGCTACACAATTTCATCCTTCAAAACCTTTGCCAGAAGTTTAAACTGGCCCGGACACTGTGAAAACAGTCTGGCCGTTCCTCGATAAGATAAACACAGAGACACTGATTCTACTCAGAAGTATATACCCCCAAATAACTGAAAACGTGTCCACACAAGGACATGTCCCTGAATCTTTAAGGCAGTGTTGCTCATGAGAGCTCAAGGATGGAAATAGCCCCGATGTCTGTCAGGTGATGAATGTATGAATATAATATAGTATATCTACTGGGATATAATCCAACCATAAAAAGGAATAAAATTCTAATACATGCTACAACATGGATGAAACTTGAAATTTTATTCTAAGAGAAAGAAAGCATACATAAAAGACAGCACATGATATGATTTTGTTATTATATGAAATGTTCAGAATAGGCAGAACCAAAACAGGAAGTAGATTAGTGGTGGCAGGGGCTGGGAGAGAGAAGGAACCAGGAGGAACTGCTAATGGGTACAGGGTTTCTTTCTAGTGCAATGACACTATTCTGGAATTAGATAGTAACCAATGTTCCGAATATACTCAGAGCCACTGAATTATCCATTTAAACAGGGTATGCTTTTTGGTATGTGAAATCCTCTTCTCTCTCTCTCTCTTTTTTTTTTGTTTTGGTACTGGGGATTGAACTTGGGACCTTGTGCTAGCTTATTTAAAAAATAAGCAAAAATCCTTCGGGAGGCAGGTGAGGACACACTGGTGTATTGTCAGCTGGTTCTTTGTCACTAACATATGCTGTGGGCTGGAATTCAGGGACATTCTTTTCTTAAGGGACTGCTTTGTTTTAGAATGGTTGCTAAGTGTACTTCTGTAGTGGTTTTATATTTTTGTCCTTGAAAAAAGAAAGAAAGAAAGAAATGTTTTCTCTTAGTTTAAAAGCCATTCCCATATCACAGCAGCTGTCTGAAGCACAATGTAACCCTTGGAGTCTCTGACAGCTAGGACAATGCCTTATTTATAATAAATCAACCCAAAAGAACAGGTCCTTTGCCAAGGCCTTGGGATGCATAGCAAATGAAAATCGTCTTGATTCTGCATCCAGCATGACTGCACATGCTCTTGTTGTTTTTTTTTTTAAATTTTTATTTACTTATTTATTTTTTACATGCTCTTGTTTTTGAGTTCAAGGCCATTCTCTTAAGGCGAAGCTACCTGCCCATTCTGCCCATGCTTTGGTTTGTGCTACCCCAAGCTCCAAGCAGCCATGTCAACTTTCAGCCTGCAGTGTTTCTGCCCTTGGTTTTTTTTATGTTGAAGTTTCATTATTTATATACATTAAGCATATTATATATTTTATATGTGGTGAAGACAATTCCTATGCACTCAAAAAAAGGAGAGCAACACTATGGTAGGCTATAGGCAATAATAATAATAATAATGATAAAATGTTGGCACCAAAAGGAATGATATGTTATATAGTATTCAGAATAATTAAGTCTAATAACAAGTTGGAAGACACAGAGAGTAACCCTAAGCTTACCTATTTATTGAAGAGTTGATTCATCTCTCCACCTCTTCTATAAGTCATTGATCTCTTTTACTTATTCTCCAGATCCTTTCCCTGTTTCCCCCCCTTGGCCTACCCTTCATTTCCTCTCATCCTGGGCTCAGTACTCATTTGCTAGCTGATCTCCTTGCCTTGAATCTTGAACTGGTCTGATCCATCTTCTGCTTTCCCCCTTCCCATCTTCCCTAAACAGGTCTGATTGTATCATTCTCTGGCTGCTACGGCTTCTTGTTGCCTTCACAATCAGTTAAATTCCTTGCTAAGTGACCTGTGGCCCTCCATGGACCAGCCCAGTGCTTAGCTTGTATCATACAAGGGGCTCAAAAATGTTTCAAAAGTGGCTTGTACCTTCTGCAGCCCAGGAGAAGTAAATGTGCAGTGGGAGGCCAGGTGGGAGAGATCAACTGGCCTGGTTTTGTGGGGTCCTGAAGTTCATCATCAAGTTTTAGATTTTAGTCTGTGTCATACTCACCCACTGGAAGGTTTTATACAGGGAAATGGGTCAAGAGAACCCAAATCTCTTGGATTTCCTTAAATCTTTACCACTATCTGGTGATGAGTGGTAAACTGAAGGGTAAACTGAGGCAGCATTCAGAGTCTGGTCACTGAAGAGCGACTCATCTACTATCAGTCATACTATGGCCCATTAAAATGACACACTTGATAGAAACGCATCAGAGCAGGTCCCAGCCCAGAAGCAAACTAACTGTCCCTCTGTTTCTTCCCAAGGGTTCTGGGAGACCAGCATTCTACCCACAGACTTAAAACCCAAGCTCAGTATCTGACACCTGAGAAGGACTGTTCTGATTTAGAAGCTCAAGTAAAGAGACTATGGGCTTTGGAGGCTTTTGTATAGGGATAACATGGTCAAAATGTCCAAAGTTTCACAGCCTTGGTTCACTTATCTGTGCATAGAACCTGGTAACATTGACCTTCAGGCTGTCTCCAAGTGTGCACTGGGCCATTGTGTCAATCACCTAAGGGTGGGATTCACGGTGCATGGTGTGGGGGGGGTGTCATGTTCAAAATGGTTTTACTACCAGGCCTTCTGGTAGATGCTGGATCTGCATTTTCAAAATACTCCCTCCATTCTAATGGACCTTAACATTTGAGAACCTCTGACTTATCTCATAGCATACCTGTAAGAATGAAATGAAATATGAACTTGGATACTTGGAACATGGACATTCAACACACTCTAATTTCCATCTCTCTTTTCCTATATGCTGGTCACAGGAAGAGGTAATCTTTTCCAAGGTCTATAATTCAATCTTTCATCTCTGAGAACACCAAACAGCATTCCCCGGTCTCCAGATGATTTTTCCTGCCTTCCTCTTCCACCTTCCCTTTCCTGAAGCTCAGAGTGGTCTGTGAGTGCAGGCTACAGCCAGGTGGGGGGAGCACCCAAGATTGCTAGGGTGGTTGATTATGCTACTCCTGCTTCTTCAGCCTCTAATCCTACTAACATGTTGATTGGACCTTTTCGTAACAACTACTTCACCCTGCCAAACAGGTGACATCTGGTTGCAAACTAAATTTACCTGGGGTGGGGGCTTATGAAATACTGATACTTGGGTTCCAGTCCTAGGGATTTTGACTTAATTAGTTTGGAGTGTGGCCTAGGGATCAAGATTGTTTTAAGCTCCTAGGTGGTGCTAACATGTACCACACATTGGAAACCATTCTCCTATTTCCTACATCTTGCAGGAAACCTTGAGGCCATGACACTAGTACAAACTACACAGACCCCAGGAGGGAAAGTCAGCCACACCCTGAGCATTCAGACAAGTGGCCACTTACCTGAAAAATGGAAAAGAGACGACTGATTCATAAAATCTCCAGGTTGCCACGAGGTCAATCCTATTGGGGTTGGTAGCATAATACCTCCAGGCAGCCTGAGAAGAAAAGAGGGCCAGGAATGATGTGACATCACCTGATACATGCTTAAGCCCTTGAGTCCTATGGATTTGAAAGTGCCTTGAGCTACCACTCAGAGACACTGAGGTTCCTGGTTTGTTGTGTCTCCTTTGGGAAAAGAAACTTCCTGATCATCTTGGAACTGGTGTTGTGCTGGGTGGAGGTTAAGGGAGATGAGTTAGAGTGGACAGTGAAAAGGGCATAAAAATCCCTGAAAAAATATTTCTAGAATATTCTCTTTCTAGAATATTCCCAGAACCTTCTCAAATAGGTAAGAAAGCAGACAAGGTCTTTTGCGCCACTTCTGGGTACAAAGAGTGCCCAGGAAAGGAGGTTTGGATCCTAATGTGTTAGGACCTCTGAGATGTTCGAATGGTTTGGGGTCTGGAGGGGATGATGGGACCGACTCTTAGAGATTGGGACTGGCCTAGAAAGTTACTATGTAGGACGTATCGTCATCTACCAGGTTGGTTCAGATCCACACAAACACCCACCACAATGGACACAAGCTCACAAGTGGGTGGCCATCCCCTGGGCATTCAAGTAACTACAGGTGGGACACTATTTTCCTATTGGCTGTGCTCCCATGCTCCCAACAACCCATAAAATCACGATGCGGGAACTCCTTGTAAAGTGTAAGAAGGAACTCTTTTGACCTGTTCCTAACCCACAGAAGGGGAGAGATGGTGACAGAGAGTGGGGCCGGTGTCCAGAGTCTACTGGTCCCTCATCATTGTCTGGGTAGGACAAATGGGCAGAATGGCTCATTATTTCACATGTAAGAAATATCTTTGTTTTTCAGATTAGGAGCTCTCCATCTTTGGCAGATGTGAAGAGACTGCATTTCTCCCTGTAGCTTACTGGCTAAGCAAAAGGACTGTGGGCTGACTCTTCTCTATGGGATCCTAGGTCAGCTTGGAGTGAGAAGCAGAATAAGAAAGAAGCCTACATATCACAGGCCTAAGCAAAATTCTCTACTCCAACATTAGCAGGAAAAGCTGATGAGTTCACCCCCGAGTCTTACATTTATTTCTTTCTTGGCCTAGAACTTGGATGGGAGAGTATTAAGATTGGTACCTTCAGCACACACAGAGAGGTCACGTAGATAATCATGGCTATTGCCCACAGGCACCCACAAGTATGCATGTGTAAGCAGGCCCACTCCTGCCTGGGTGTGCACATGCATGTGCTGGGACACACACACGCACACACAGACACACACACACACACAGAGTCGTGGGACCCATTCCAGTTTATTTGCAGGCAGACAGACCTGGATGAGCTCAGCAGCTGGCTTCCTCCTTTTCTCAAAGTGCTTCTGACGGTGCTGCTCCTGCACCTTGAGTGCCAGTCCTGACCCCAGGATGCCCTGGAGAGAAAAGCCAGACCACAGTCAGCCCCACCCCACTCCCCCCAGCCCCTCAGCCCCACCTTCAAGGCAGCAGGTGATGAAGGCCTCAGTGGCTCCGTAATGACAACATTGCACGAGAGGGGGAGGGGTAAAGAGCCTTCCTTCTTGAGATGATAGGGAGCTGGGATAAGTGGAATAAATCCGAAGTCAGGAAGGCCTGGGTTCCAATCCTGACACTCATTGTCCAGCCTTGAGATCCTGGCCAAGTCTCTCATCATGCTGAATCTCAGTTTCTTCCACAGGGCCATAAGATAACAGTACAGAAAGTAAGTAGTGAGATATATACATATAGTTACTACATAGTAAGGGGCATAGCACAAAATAGATGTCCAGTAAATGTTAATTGAACTTTTTTTTTTTTTGGTACCGGGGATCGAACTTGGGTCCTTGTGCTTGAGCAGCAGGCAGTGAAACCACTGAGCTAAATCCCCGGCCCCTGTTAATTGAACTTTTAAAGTATTTTAGCAGCTTGAACTGTCCTTTGGGACATTTACTATAGTCAAACTTCACAAGAATTGAGATCTGTTTTAATTTCCAGGTCAGACCTGCATGTGGATTAAATGGATAGAAGAATACACTTTTCGAGATGCAAGAGATCTAGACATAGTGCAATGTTCTTACATCTCTCACCTGTCTCACCTAAGAGAACACTGAGATTCTATCATATATTCAATTCAAATAGCTTAGGAAAAAAGATAAGGCAAGGCTGCTGATGGAGAAAAATCTTCATCAACAAAAGAATGGTAGATAAAGGGACAGCAGAGGGATTGCTATTTAAGAAGATTCTTTTCAAGCTCTGTAGTTAAGAGCCAGACTTTAGAAATGGCCAGATTTGAGATTCCTGACTTCACAACTCAGGAAAATTTACTTACTCAATTAAGTCTCAGTTTTTTCATCTGGCAATTAGAGGTAAGTAGAACATCAAACTCATAGTATTGTCATGAAGATCAAATAAGATAATATAGATAAAAGATTTGACATGATTTGTGCACATAGCAAGTTCCATAAGTGCCATCTATTATTATTTGTCTTTATTACCCTGGGCATGGCCTTGGGGGAAGTTATCCTATCATATGCCAAGACTTACTCATGAAAGAAATCTACTTTTTACATATAGCACTAAAGGACAGGACAAAGGAAGGGAGCTTCCATGTATGAAGAACCTGAGATATGCTAGGTGCTGGGAATACAGGGATGAAATAGAGAATCCCAACCCCTAAGGATCTGGATCCTCTAGGTGAGGCAGGTAGCAGATGTACAACTCCAGCACTGAGTGAGGAATGCCTTTATAGAGCTATGTCCCGAAGAGGGAGCAATAACAAAGCCTAAAAAAGGCAGATTGAGACTAGGTCTTAGAGAAGGAGTGGGTGACTGGGAGGGATGGCACCTAGCAAAATGAAGCAGCACAGGCCATGAGAGAGGCAGGACAGCTAGGCTTAAGGGGCTAGCTGGTGAACGGACAGAGTTTAGAATTTAAGGTGCAAAAAACTGAAAGTTGAGACTGAAAATTTGAGGTGTGTCAGGCAGTGAAGGGATTCTACATGGCATACATCAAAGGTACTTACTGCTGGAAGAGCAAAAAAAGAGACACCAATTAAGGAGAAGGTGGCAGCGATCAGACGGCCTTCCCACGTTTTGGGTGTCTTGTCTCCATAGCCAATGGTGGCCAGTGTGATCTGCGGACAGAAGAGTTCAGATGTGGGGTCCCCGGAAGAGGACCTCAATGATAGGTCAGTTGAGTTCCACCTCTGAGCCTCTGTACCTACTTAAGTGCTGGTCCCATTTATAATGAGATCCCCATGGGAGAAAAGTACCAAGTACTACATAACTTATCTGGGAGGACTGAGAAAACAGCCTGTTTCTAAGTTAAGGATTTCCTATCTATGGGTCAGTAAACGATTTCAACAATTGCACACATGTTTACGGGAGTGTATATTCATGTGTACATATACAGTTTGCCCTCTACTTATAGGTCCATGAATTTGTATTTAACCAAAAGTGCATCTAAAGTATTTGGGAAAAAACACAATAAAATAGCAATATAATTAAAAAACTTAAACAGATAAATACATGTACCAACAATTTTCACATTTACATTGTATTAAGTATTATAACTAATATAGAGAAGATTTAAATATACAGGAGGATGTTTGTAGGTTACGTGCAGATACCATACTATTTACATCAGGTATTTGAGCATTGGTGGATTTTGATATCCATGGGGAATGAGGATCTTGAAATCAATTTCCTGTGAATACTGAGAGATGACTGTATTTGTGAATGTGAGATTTTATGTATGGCTAGTTCTATAAATTGTGCTTCTGAGTGTCTTTGTATAAACCATGCATGTACATGTGCAAATCTGTGCAACTATCTGTTCTGGTGCGTGGGGTATATTCCACTGTGTGTTTACGTGTTTATGCTATCAGTACACCTGTACAGATGCACATGCACCTGCCTGTGGAGAACAGGACAGACAGCAGGTAACACTGTGGCCTCTGGAACCTAGGATTCTGTCTTAAAATATCAGGGCAAATCCTCTAGTGGCTGAGAAATCTTAAATTAGTTACTTAATTTTTCATGCCTCAATTTCCCCATTTTTCAAAAAAAGTTTGAGCTTAAAGTATGTTAATAAATGTGATAAGCTCAAAGTTCTTCTCTGGAGCAAAATGAGACTTAATAAATGACAGCTTTAATACCTTGTGGCTGTAGGGCTATGACACAGATCTGTGTCACAGGTCTGTATGCATATGTATGTATCTGCCAGTGTGTTTGCACATGCAGGGCCTGGCTGAGAACAGTCTATGGCTGATAAGGTACAGTCCTTAAGAGATGGCACAAGCAGACTGTGGTGAGCCCAGTCTTTCTACAGCACTGTGAGAAAGTCCATTCTACCCTGTGGTGGGAGTGTCCTGTCCTCAGGCAGAAAAGGCCTTTCACCTCTGATCAGTTGCCTGCCTGACAGTGCACATACCATGTCCTCTGCCTCTCTCTGTTTCTAACAGTCAGTCCCTGTATCGTTGCTTTCCAGATGACTCACCAGGCCCCACCACAGGGCATCTGCATAGGTCTCAAACTCCTCTTTCATTTCCTCTCCTTGTGCGTCCACTTCTGGCACATCTTTCTCAACCAGGTAAACAAGAAATGAAGAAAGGATGAGCGTCAGGAAGCCGATGTACCAGGCAGTGATGAGTTCCTGGAAGAGTCAGTGGTGGGTGAGGGAGGTATTCACTGAGAAGTCACTGGGTGGATACTGGAGCCAGAGACCCCAGATCTGGAGTCCAGGGATAGTGGTAAAGGACACACTTTCCCACATTCTCACCCTCCATCACTATAAAATGGAATCAAGACCATGGGTATGATTTACAACACCTAGTAAGGGACAAATGGATGCCTTTGGGAGGAGAGGATGACATTTTGCCAAGGAGATCTTGGTATCCAGGTCAGGAGGCTTCACAGGAAGGTGAGAGGTCAGGAGGGCCTGGACACCGCATCTGAGGTAAGACTCAGGGCTCAGGAGTCTTGGTTCTCTGCAGGCTCCCCCAGCAAGGACAAAGCTCAGGCTGACAGAGAAATTGATGGCAAGAGAGAGCTAGTGGGCAGGACCTAGCCCACTGCCAATTTAGTGACCTGGGACAAATGATCTCTTCCTCCCCAGCCTAAGTATCCTCATTTTAAAATGAAGAGACTGGACCACAAGGGACCTGAAAATGTCACAGGTACGAAAGTTTTTATATTAGATGGTTCTGTATTAATATAGAACATATGTGACACATAAAACATATGATTTCATGGTATTATCCCATGATAAACTGGGAAAATGAGTAGGCAAACAAGAGTAAGCTCATTTAAAGGGAAATGTTAACAGGGAAGCAAAAATCAGCAAAGCACGGAAGTTTCAAAAAGCCTGATGGAGACAATCCCTAATGCTCTTTCTAGCTGCTATGTTCTGTATTCGTTTTTCTCCTCCAATGTCATTAGCATGGTAGGCTAGGTAGAAAGAAAGTCAAGATTAGAGGTAAGCACAATCTGGAGGTAAAGCCTGCTGGTCCCAATGAATCATCACGGAGAGTGACCTTGGTCCTGCTGGGTCCTCCCCATGGCTGACCATCTGCAGCCAGCCGGCTGCCCTCTAGGTCTGGAGAATCTCATGGACAGCGCTGACTTCTGCCCTCCCCTGCAGCAGGGGCCAACTGAAGACCTCCGACCCTCCTCAGACTCATACCACCTTCATCGTGAATTGACTGGAATGTTTGCTCCCCCAGTTAGAATGGTTAGCTGTAGTTCCTTTACACTTTCACTATTTTCCAGTCTCCATCTCTAACACTTCCTTATTGTGCTTGGTTCCTCATGGGCCTTGGCCTTCTCCAAGCACCATCACACACTGCACTCAGTGGTGTGAGTTCACGCTACAGCACAGAGCAAGGCTCAGTCATCATGGGAACCCAGCCAGCCACTCTCCTCGGAAAGGGTCTGCCCTGCAGGGGTAGAGAAGGGAAAGGTGAGTGGATATTCCCTCCCCTTGGCTGTCTGAGTATGAGCATCTTGCTTTGCAGAATGCAGGTCTGCCTATATTTGCCATGCTCTCCAGCCCCCAGTGCAAGTCCGAAGTTTCATCTGGTGCTTTATTAAGGAAACATCCATCTGTTCACATGTGCACAGATAAGCTGGCTGCATTGGATTATTAGGACAAGGCATAATGGTTGTCAATGAGTAGTGAAAATGGGTCCCCATTCTGTGCTTTGCAGTCATTTAAAATGTTATTCAAGGTAATTTTGACTCTAGACAATTTTTGTTAGTAGCTCTGTAGTAGAACTGGTCCCCTTTATATGCCAAGGCAGGCTGGGGCTAGGGGACTGGTATCTGGCCAGTGAGGTGAAGTGATGGCAGCATATTCCTTCTTCCTGTGCCATAAGTGCATTCTGCTGGATGTGCCTGCCTCAGTGACTCACTCAGGTTCCTTTCGAAGACAGATGAGGCCAATCCAGCACACAACAGGCTGTGAATGATCAAGATATTAATGTCTGTGTGGTAGGTAGCAGAGACTGCAGGGCCCATTTGTTCTGGGAGCACAGCCTGGCCTAGCCTATCAACTTTAAAATTCTAGCCCTCTATGACATAGAGCTCCTAACATTCATCTCTGAGTATTGTGCAGAATCAAGCCTAGAACCCAGCCTGCTGCACAATAAATGGATGAAGAAATGGCTGAGAGTGTGCTTGTTCACCAGGCAACTGGCGACTCCCCCAAGAAGAGCTTTCTCTCAGCTCTGGGAGCCAGGGACTTCTTGTATACTCATGATGTACATTCTGGAGCATAGCAAGTGGTCAATAAACCTAGGTCTTTGAGTAAAGAACTCTGCCTTCCCCTCCCTGGGGAAGAGGCCCTGCCTTCATTTTGGGACTTGGCTACATTGTGAGCCTGTCCTTCCTCAGGAATTTCATCACAAACATCATAAGTCTGCTGATAATTACATGGTAAATGGCAGATACTGGGATCTATTTTTGTCTGCAAGGAAAAAGGACAAGGACCTAAAGCAGTCATTTTTAGCATGATTTCCATTGGAGCTGTGAATCAGCTCCACTTTGTGGACACAGGCTAAGGTTGAAGCTAGGAGGGTGCTGCGAGCGTGTCTTCTTATAGGAGGCAAAGTAGAAGGTGATGGGAAGAAAGAACTCTGTAAAGAAGGCTCTGGCTGACTCTGAGGCCAGAGATAGCGTGACAAGAGAATAAAACATCTGTGGCAAGAAACTGCACTGTAAGGTGAAAGATTTCCAGGTATTTTAGGTTTTAATTAATTTAATTCATACAACTGTGTGCTGCATAATGATATTTTGGTGAAGAAGGGACCAGATATATGATATTGGTTTTGCAAAATTCTATTACCTCTAATATGATATCCTTCTTAGAGTACAAGCTATGATGTTTGCACAGTGACAAAATCACCTAGTGGCACATTTCTCAGAATGTATGCCCACCAATAAGTAATGCATAAATATATATTTATTTGTGAGGTCTGTGAAGAAAAGTACACTTGGAATAATAAATTCTCCCATTGGTGAGATTCTAGTACTTGGCAGGCCTTTAAACCCTCTTTTTCTTACACCAACAGCTGGAGGGATTCACATTTTACTACTGGGAAGCTCATTAAATTAGAATGGCATCTTTAAAGTCTTAAGCTGGAAAATGGTAGAGCTGAATTCTAAACAGATCCCTAAATTGTATGTATTCTACTGTATGATGCCACCTCCCAGGAAACATTCCCCAGCACTTCCAGGAGCATGTCTGAGATATGAGAAGCAGGAGCATGTGGGTATGTTCTGGGGCTGTCCAGTTGGAGATGGCCCGGTCATGTTAAGCTTAGAAGAGAAGCTCTGAATTGCCTAAGGAGCTCACTCCCTCAGGTCCAGGTCCCCCAAAGCAGAACCAGAGACAAGGATTGAGGTACATGTGGCTTATTTGCAAGTGATTACTGATAGGATGGTCGGAGGGCTCCCATAAAGGGGTGCCCATCATAACTGGCACAAGAATTGACTCCCTTAGTGAGGGAGAAAGCTTTGACTTAAACCCCTGTAAAACACCAGTTCTGGGCCCAGGGATTTAGCTCAGTGGTTTTGCCACCTGCTCCACAAGCTCAAGGACCCGAGTTCGAACCCTGGTAACAAAACAAAACAAACAAACAAAACCACCATTTCTGGGCTCCCTGCCTGTCTTTTCTCCTGCACTGGCCTCCCAGGGGGATTTCCTGCCTGAACTGAGACACAGAGGTTTTCTGCCATTCTTCAAGACCCCACTAGAGCAGCCAGGTCAAAGCAAAGTAGTCCAAAAGCTTGGATTAGCAACAGAAAGGAAACACAGGAAGTTCAATAAATCCAGACAAACTGGATTCCAGTCATCTGGGTTCCATGCCTACTTAGCCTGGAAGTCTAGAAGGAGATGAAGCTGAGTCCATTCATTCTTCCTGGTCTCTCTGGGGAGCTGAATACAGCACGGCCAGGAGCAAACTACTGGAAGTGGGCTCAGGAACTGCATTGCCTGTGTTGTATCCTACTGCACGACTTTGGGGAAAGTTCCTCTCTCTTTCTGCATCTGGTTTTTTAACTGTGAAAATGGTAACAACAGTGCCCGAGTCCTGCGTGAGGTAGCCTGTGTCAAACACTAAGATCCAACTGTGTTTTGGGCTTTACAAAACAAGAGCAACCGACTGATTTTGAAGAGTGGGGATGTTCTGGATGTTCTTCATGTATCAATTCATTTCATCACACCAGCTCTTGAAGGGATTGTCATTCCCATCCGCTAAATACAGGACTTATGATCCAGAGATCCAAAATGGTTACAAAAATAATCCCCAAAGTCACACAGGTAGAGTTTAGATTCAGATCGGTCTGGGTGACGCCAAAAACTTTCATTCCACCTCAGACTGCCTTGCGTGAGCTCACCTCATCCTCTCTCATCCGGTGGTACAGGTGTCATCACCCATACTTGGAAATGAGGAGACCAAGGGACAAAGAGAGGTGATCAACTTGGACGAGGTGACTTGCATATGGCAGAGCTGAGACCTAAGCTCAGGGGTAGGTGTTTGTCAACACCACACCCACACAGGTGCCTCTTCCTCTCCCTATTCTTCCTCAGTGTCACTGTTATCAGTGATGGTGGAATGACTGTCCTTGTGGACACTGTAAGCCAAGGAAGGTCATAAAAGGGCACGGACATGTGAGAGGGCCACCCAATCTTGTGGCTTCTCAGTGCCACTTACTTTGCTATGAGCGCAGATAGCTGAGCCCAGGAGCTTCCAGGTGCCACCCCTCCTGTCCATCCGCAGCATGCGCAGGATCTGTAGGAAGCGCAGGCTTCGCAGGGAGGTGGCCAGGACATTGCCCTGGTTTCCCACAGCAACTACAGGCACAGAAGCAATCAGCACGAAGATGTCTGTGAAAGGAGAGAGAGGCAGAGAATAGGGAGAAGCATGTCAGGTGAAGGCAATGGAATTGTCATAGGTGGCAGATGCACATGTGCCAAGCAGGGAGCAATCTGAGATGGGCTGTGTTGAATCTTGATATTCACCACGCAGGATAATGGGCTTATTCCTTGGGGGCTGATGAGGAGTCAGGAGCTCTGTGATCCTCCCAAGGCCACACAGCCAGAAGTAGTTGAGTTGGGACTGGACACAGGTCTGTGGTACTCCAACGTGGGTTCTTGACCCTGGAGGAGTGATTCCCTAAGTCTCCCAGTGTAGCACTTGAGACTCACTCTGAGATTAATTAAGGAGAGAGGGGCCAGGATGTTCAGGCTGTGAAGGTGAAGCCTAATGCTCAGACAGTTTTAATAGGGTTTCTCCAAAAAGCTTCACCAGAGACTAGAACTCAGGTGCAGGTAATTTACTGAGAGATAGTGCTAGGAAGCATAAGTGGTGGGGAGAGAGACAAGGAAGAAGAAACAAAACAAGCAGGCAAAACAGTCAGGAAGTGTTTGTAATCAATCCCTGTCAGGTCCTTTGAACTCTACAGTGCCTCCCGAGATCATCCATCTGGAAGGTGGAAAGTTGGGACATCAGTCCTTTCACTCATTTCTAGCTGCTTGAAGGACGCTCCTGGGTTCATTCCCCACACTTTTGAGGTGGACTGGCCTACTGACCTCAGAGAAGGCCTAGTGGGAAGTTGTGGAAAGATCTGAGCCCACCTTCGACGTGGGATGCCCTTATTAGGAAGTGACAGGGAGATGTGCACCATGGCCATGGCTGAAGTCCCAGGTGGCCAAGGGGACGGGACACTTTGGAAAGTGCCAAATGGCTCCTGGAGTCAAACAGTCTACCCCGGAAGGGAGGAGACCTGACTTCTCTCTATCCCCTTCAGTGGTATCCAACACCCAAGTCTGTGATGTCCCCATCATCCCACAGAGGTGTAACAACTAAAAGGGCCCCCACAGTTAAGGAAAATTGGGAATAGCTCAATTAAACAGGAGTTATTTGCTCCTACGGGATTCTCAGAATCTTTAATACACTAATATCCATTGTGGATTTCAATTACACAAATGAAGAATAGACTTTCCCCAAATTTTTTTTTATCTTATTGAACTTGGTTTTAATGTCTCAAAATTCTATGGCACATGTTTGGTCAAGTTGTCTCCACTTAAAAGTACTGATTTTCACAACTAATAACTTAAAACTGCCACACGCAAATGGTCCACAAAGCATTCTCCACAAAACATTCTCCCTTCCAGCTGAAAGTTTTAGGAAGCATTGTTTTCACCAACCAGTGTTTTACTACTGAGCCCAAATGGCCCATTGAGTCCAACCCACTGCAATGTCTTCCTGCACTGAGGAGCACTGGGGCGGCGAACTCCGGTGGCCTCCTTGTCTGCTACTTTGATGACACTCAGAGCAGTTGTCTGTCTCTTATCACAGATAGCAAAATGACCCAGAGGAGGGAGTCAGAGAAGCTCTCAGCATGCACATTTCCGTGAAAGGAGCGTTGCCAGATTTCAGGAATTTAGGGCCTTACTCCAGAATGGTGATCATCTCATCTCTCACTCAGTAAACATGCAAGCCGTGTGAACTGTGAGGCATTTCACGACAGGGCAGAGCCAGCACTGACTTGGCCTGGATGGGCCAGAATAATCCTCTGGAAGTGCAGTCAGCTGCTACCACTGGTGGGTCATTTCTGCTGTCACAGCAGTGCTGCCATGAGGAACATCTTTGAGGGACACATTCTTGACATGAGAACCCACACTGGCTCCAGGAAGCGCTTCACTCAGAGCTCCCTAGGGCAGCTCAGCAGACTTTGCTTCAGTTGTGACACTGACTGGACCAAAAGTGATAGATGACCTTGCCAGGTTTGAGAGCACCAGATGCCCTGGGACCCTTGGAGACAGTACCTGTACCACTAATGCTACAGATGCCCCGGGAAGGCTTGTCAGCTAGATGAGCTGGTGGTAGGTACAATCCAGAGCTTCAAGCTGTATGGTTCCACAGCATTGCCATCTTCATCAGTGACGTTCATCCCTTAAACCAAGCCATGTGGGCACTTGGCTCCAGCATGCTGTCACCATGCCAGGGAGAAACTGTCACACATGCTACCAAGTCAGAGTCAGAGTCAGGGCTAATTTTCTTAATGTAGGTGCTAACTTCCTTAATTATTTCCTTGTAGCTCTTCTGTGGTACAGTAGCTCTGTGGAATCAATTTTTCTAACACCAGCAATTATTTGTTTCACACCCAGTGTGTAAGCTAGAAGGGGATGGTCACAGGCCTGATAATTCTAGGAGATACTAGCTTCAAGTTTACCACCCATCAGGAAGCAGCATCTGTCAGGAAAGCCTAGTCAGCCCAACATGTGCTTGGAATCATGCTTTTGACAAAGTGTCTGTGCCCTGGGCATCAATGATACTTAATACTTGCTTGTGTCAGTTTCCACAGGGAAGGTGTCAGTGATGACACCACACGCACGTTTAGCTTTCATTTTACCCAAGATCCAGCCATATTCGAAGGAGCTCTTTCCCAGCTCAGCAGGCTCTTTCTCAGACCTGTCTATGGCTCTTTTGTTGATTCCACTATATTTGCAGGTCACGTGGCCAGTAGTGGTGGCCCTGCCCTAATCAACAAGCCCAGTGATCACAATGTTGGTATAAGTCTTTTCCCTTCCCATTATGACTTTGATTTGGAGGTGGTTTTCATAGCACCTGTGTTCTGGCAGCAAACTTGTGAAAAAAAAAATCTCCCAAAAGATGGTGATCACAGAAGTAGGTTTTGCAAGAGCACCAGGGTACTAAGGAACACACATAAGGAAATGTTTGTGGGAGCTCCTTTAGCCATTTGGCCCTTGAGAAATTTCTGGATGCATTGGTGGTTTGCTGAGCTCATAGTGCTCTCTCACACCTCCACATGTTTGTTTGTTCTTGTTTCTCAGCTTAGAAAATATTCACTTCTCTCTGAGTATATTTACTACAACAACAACAACAACAAAGACTCAACTTCTAGGTAATGATAAGTCTTTTGGACTGGGCAGGCTTCTCAGTTATCTGTGTGAAGCTATCCACTTGCAGTGTTCACAGAAGAAACAAACAAACAAAGCAAAACAACACCTAAATGCACAGTAAACTCTATGGCCACAGTGCTCTGAGAGGACGGCAGATCTGCTCTTGATCTAAAGTGGCAGGATCTGAGGCTGCCTTGAAGGAGAAGGCCATGCTATTTAGGAACATGATCATCACCCTCCTGTCAAAGATACTGAAAAAGTAGCATTGCTACAGGGCCACACTGGAAGAAGCTGAGATGAGTAAGGTGGAAATGCAGTGAAGGACACCAGAAAAGAAGGGTGCGTGTGACAGCACAGTTTTAGAGGACATTTAGTTACTTCTTTATACGTTTTTCTCCTTTCTTTTACCCTCTTTCTATATGTCCTCCCACTTTTCTTCCCTCCCTCTCTTTTCTTCTTTCCATGTCTACTGCAAGTGTATTTGTATTAAAGCAGACTTGTTTTTCTCCTTTAGAGTGATCTGTCTGATGCTGGCTGGATGGAGTGAGTGTGAGTGTGTGTTTGTGTGTGTGTGTGTGTGTGTGTGTGTTAATGATAGATTGGACCCAAGTTCAAACAGGTTCCCGCTGAGAGTGGAACACCCTGGCTTATGGCACTTGGACCCCTATAGGACAGACACATCCCAACAGAAGCATCTCCATGGTCCCAAGACAGCCCGTAGTACCAGGGCTCCAGGCTACCTACCACTCCTTTCCTGGAGCCAACACATCTGGCTTCTTTTCTGGTGTTACTTGCTGCATTTTCAATCCTACTCATCTCAACTGCTTCCTTAATGTGGCTGTTGTAGCAATGTTCCTTTTTTATTAGTTGTGATGATTAATCCTGATATGTCAACTTCAAGGGGTTAACAAATGCTTAGCAGATTATGAGTGCACACTCCTAGGCATGTCTGGGTGGGTCACAGAGTCATGGTTCTGAGTACCATATATGGTCCCAACCCGGTTCCTCTCTAGCACTGTTCCTCTGCTCTGCCCAGATGCCATGAATTAAGCATCTTTGCTTGGCTATTCCTGTCTGCCATGATGTTTCCACCTTGGAGCCTATCACCCATGGGCTGAATCCATGAGCCAAATTAAACCTCTCCTCCTTAAGTTGTAGGTGTCAAAAAGCTGACTAACATGGTGTGCTGCTCTACATGGAGGCAGGTCAAGGGCTGGGCAGCCTCCACAGTGCCATGTGATTTCCCATAACAGCTGCTTCAATCTTCCTCAGAGAAACAGTGCACAGAGAGGAGATGGACTTGACCACCAAACGAGGGGGCAGGGCTTACCCAGCATGCACAGGGGCTTCCTGGCAAACTTCAGTCGTCCCCGCCAGCCTTTGTATCGGCAGCAACATCCAGCAGCCCAGATCCTCAACGCAAACTCAGCTCCAAAGATGAAAATAGCAAATGTTTCCTGTATGGCAGAGTGTGTGGACCGATTAACAGGGACCCAGTTGTCGGGACTGGAGAGTTTTCTAAAGATCTGAAGAGCTATGCTGTTGTTTTGGAGGGAACACTGGTAGAGGAACTGCTGGTCACCTCCATCCGGCCATGGAGAGGTCTTCTCCATTGCCCTGTGCTAACACTCTCTAACTGCTACGACTTGCGAAGTGATTCCTTGTTCTTTTTTTCTATGTTTTTGTTCCAATGGATCATTTGCTAAAAAAAAAAAAAAAAAAGAAGAAGAAGTCCCTCCACTGTATTAGAAGCTCCTAAGAAGTGAAGTTGGTAGAGAACTGATCTAGTAATCTCACCCAGTTGCTGGCCCCTGGAAAAAACAAAGCTGAGGCAGATTTCCGGGTAGAGCACATTGTTGTGTTAACTTTCGGAGGACTGTGACTCTGTTGTTTATAATTTAATAATATGTAATGGCTCTTGCTTTGATGTGCTTATACCCTTTATCTCTAGTCTAGACTACAAATCCTTACCAGGAAAGCCATTCTGTGCTCATGGGGACCTCACCATATGGGGAAGGTAAGGCAGTTTCTTTGACCTAGACTTGGCTGGAGACCCCAGGAAGCCCCAGGCAGGCAGAACTGTACCCCTAGGGTACATTCTCATTCTCATTCTGAGCCCTGCGGAAGTCCAACCAGAGGTGTGGGCCCCAGGACACAGTGCCAGCAAACAGACCAGCTCACCAGCAACAGAAGCCAGTCTCCTGACACAGTCTCGTACTCCTTGAAGGTGGTCAGGACGGCCAGGATCAAGCACCCCAGGACAATCAGGAACCTGAAGGGAAGGGAGGAGGAGAGTGAGAAATTTTTAGCCTGGTTTCCTACATGGGCAAAGACTGAAAAGCGGCAGCTGGGATGAAGCTGCACCTCCCACTGAACTCTGGACTCTGCCATGTGCGGTATACCTTGTCGCATTTAGTCTTCATGGTGACTTGTAAGGTAGGTGGGAATTATTACTCTAGGTAAAGGAGACAAAATGCAAAGCCATCATCTTCTTTCACTTAGCCAGCCCGTTAGTAGAGTCAGTTACTTAGAAGTCAAAGCAGATCTTCTGTTCCCAACACTGGGGACTTGCACAGCACAGAAAGACCAAAAGTTATCACAGGGTTGAAAAACACAAGCATGAATAAATTAATAAAGTACCCTGCATATGCAGGGCTAAGACGATGATTTTAAAATATACAAAGATACTGTTAGTAGGAAGAAAATATAAATTCATTTCAAAGATGCATAAATTCAGCAAACACTTCTGTCCTCATGTTTGAGCGTTATTCTTTTTACAGTCAATGGCTCCTAAATGAAACCTCTTTCAACTGGTGATATTCAGAATTGTTTTTTAAATGCTAAAAATAACAGGACCCTCTACACTGAAAGATGCTGTATGCTGATGCTTTAAAATTCATGTAGAGATCATTTGGTCCATGCCCTATCTCAGACTGAAGCAAACTGCAAACAACCCTTTGAGATTTTCATGTTCATACAAGCTCTCCAATTCCAGGGCATCTGGCACCCTCCCCTGTTTGTGGATTTCGACTGTCTATGCTTCTGTGACCCTCATTCATTTATTCATTTATTCAATGCACATCTACTAGGCAATGGGAACATAAGATGACTAACCTGGATCCACCACAGGCCTCAAGAGCTCATAGTCCAGACAGCAGAGAACTGCCTCACCTAGGAGGGTAAGCACTGGGACATAAGAAGGCCTGGAAATCTCTGCTTCTGACCTGGGCTGGGAACAAAGTCCTGGCTCTGGTCCTTGTCAGCCCCATCACATTTTCTGATCAGTTAACCTGCTGAACTGCAGACCTGAATCTCTGTTTCCACCCTAACCCTAGGAACCTCAGGGTTCCTAATGCCCTCCTGTGACTGGGCATTGTACTTGAGCTGCACAGCTCCCACCCGTGCCTGGAATCTGCCTACCCTGAATGCCAACCTTCCTCACAGTTGACGATGTTTCTGGCAACCTCGGCTCCCACCACTCCTGTTTGGTGAGCATCTACCACTTTCTGGGTTGGTGTCTGGGGAGGAAGAAGCTTGGTGTCCCAAAGTGAACCAGTGTGGCAGAAGTAGGAGCACTTAGGCAGACTCTGAGCCTCCTGTACTTGGTGTGCGCCTAAATCCTGGGGAGATTCCGTGGTGCGCGTGGGGTGAGCAGGCCCTAAGGTGAGCCGGGTGAATCATGCCCCACGTGACTGCCCGCATGAACCTGCAGTGTGCCTGCCATCGTGTTGGGATGTCGCTCTTTGGCTTCAGTTTTGTTGTATGGCAAAGGCAATGGGGGAGTCACACCTGTGACTGGGAAACCTTGTGTAAGGCTCTATCTTCACCGATGGGAGCCAGCCTCCATGTGAGCCGCCATATTGAAAAGGGCCCAGAGTTTTGTCACAAGCTGCTTCATTGGCTTCTGGGACCTGAGAGCAGCGCCCAGCTGATGACCAGCATGAAAGTGGGGCCTGTCCCCCACCACAAGGGTCCACCTTCATGAGAGCTTGGAGGATGCCTCTGTGCTCCCACAGGTAATACAGCCCAGCCAAAATCTTGACTGCACCAGGACCTAGTGAAGCCACAAACAGACTCCTGCTGTTCAGAAAATGAAATGAAGAACTGTGCTGGCCTGGGCTGTTACGTCAGTGACAATTTGTTACACAGCAATAGAAAACACACACGGTGGAGCAGAAGTCTGCACCAGCTGCATCCACTTCTACAGAGGGGAGCGTGTGAGTGATGCTGGGCTCCATCTGTGTGCCAAGCACAGAGCTGGGGGGTTCTCTGTACCCCCTTCTGGCCAGCCTGGCTCCTGACAGGGGCCCTAAGTGTTTGGAGTCTAAGTATCAGCATTGCCGCAATTTTAGTGCTCAGAGATGGCCCTGTTGTTGGAATTAAGGGCACAGAATGGAAGGCAGGCCCTGAGAGATGGGGCGGAGCCTGATAGGAAGGGTTTCAGAGGCTACAAGGAGAGTTTGTGCTGCACTTTGTTCTGTAGATCTTACACACACACGCGCACACACACACACACACACACACAGGGTGATTGAAAAACACAATGTTTAAATGTTTAGACACCTATTAGAGTAAAAGACACATTACCACCAACAGTGGGCTAAGTGTATTCAATGTGAGGGGGAGTATTTTGAATATTTTGAAGGGTGTTAATGGCAAAGTGCCTTTTAATGTAATAAATTTTCACTCACTATATTTTTGATCAGCTGGTAGATATCTACAAACTATCTATAGGTAGTAGCCTCCCTTTTATCTGAAGTTTTGCTTTTTGTAGTTTTAGTTTTTCACGGTCAGCTATGGTCTCAAAATGGTACATGAATAATTCTAGAAATAAGTACTTTCTATGTTTTAAACAAGTTTTATTACAGCGTATTATTATAATTATTCTCTTATTATTAGTTATTGTTGTTAAGTTCTTATTGTGTTTAATTTGTTGATTAGACTTTATCTCAGGTAAGTGGTATGTGAAGGAGAAGTACAGTAATATATAAGTTTGGGACTCTCCCACCATTTCTAGGGTTCACAGAGCATCTTCGAATGTGTCCCTCAACAGACTGTTCATCCACATCTCCATCACATCGATAGCCACATCTCTCCACAAAGACGGTGTGCTGAAGGACAGGGGTCACAAGGTCATTGTCACCGTGGAGAGGCTGAGGGCTGCTGTGGACAGGGCAAGGGTGACTGAAGGACCGGTGACCAATGGGAGTGGAGGCCGAGCAAGAGGATCACAGGGCCCCCCAGGGCCGGGGGACAGGGTGGACAACATGCTGTGACAGCCGTCGGGAGGATATGCAGGGGCCAGGGGAACCATAAAGTTAGGAACGCTGAGGACGTTTGAGGCCCCAGTGGAAACCTCCACGAGCTGATCAGACTCTCAGAGTGAAGTTTGGAAGAGAGGTTGGCCCTGGAGATGCAACAGACTTGTAGCTCTAATTGTCTGACTCTGCAGCCACAGTAGGCGGTGAGTGTTCAGCCTTAACCAGCCACTACCAAAATGCAGTTTCAAGCAGAACCAGGCTATGGCCAGCAGAGGGAAGCAAATACCCACACAGCTCTGCATTTTCTCACCTCACCAGCAGCCCCTGAATCTGCTTTCTGAGACTGGAGAACAATCATTAATTTTTAATAAATAACTAGTGATGCCCTCTTCAACTCGAGAAGGGGAAACACTCCTTGTTTTCTTGCAAATTTGCATGCATCCTTAAAATGAGAAGTCGGTTTTGGACAAGCCATCGCTGTGTCCTCTTCCTTACCACGTCCTCTTCCTCACCAGTCCTCCTTCCTTTTCCTCAGCTCGTCACCACTTTGGTTTCCTTCTCTGTAGCCTTGACTGCTTCCTTCACTTCTCTCTCAGTGCCCTCCCTCTCCCTGAGGTCTTTCTCTCCTTACCCTTTCCTTTCTACCTAGTCTTCCCTTCTCTCCTCTCCCTGCTCCTCCCCTCCTCTCTCTCCCTTCTTCCTCTGCTCTGCACACTTCTTGTCCCTCAGTTCTGACATGAGCAGGCATCTGTGGCCTGGACCCTGGGGATGGCCACCTGCACGTCTCCTGTCTGCAGCACCCTGGCCATCTTCACAGATGATGCCAGTGTGGACAACAGGGTCAGGCGTGCTCTCAAATCAGACCCCACCCTCGGCCTCTGTTGCTCTCCTCACCGTTTTCTTCCTCTGAGGGAGCCAGGCAGGGGAGGGGGTGGGGAGCAGATGCAGGAGGGCCCAGGGGTTGCTCCCACAGTGCACTCTTCTTCCTCTTCCCCCCTCCATGCCTTTGTCCCTGTAGGGGAACAGTTCCACTTCTAGACCGTTCTCAGAGGCCCCTGCAACTCCCACTTGATTTGCAGTTATTACTGGGCCCCTTTCAGTCAGTAGGTCATAAAATGTCCTACAGACAAAGGAAGGCAGGTAGCCCTGACCCAGCCAGACTCCTGGTGATTCTTGCCTGTTTTCCCTAAATCCCATGCTAGGACCATCCTCCCTGAGAAGCCAAGGTCAGCGCTGAATCATCCAGCAGAGCAGCTGTCATTGACATCCTAGTCATCACACCACAGGCACTGGGCTCAACCCCAAAAGGCAGGCACAAGGGGACCAACCTCGTCTACATGAGGGTCCCACGGGTCCCCAGCTGAAATGCCTCAGAGGTAAAGCACCCATGGTTTGCCGGGGTTTCCTTTTGTTTGTTTCTTACTTTTTATAAGTTGATACCTGATGTCTATACACATTTATGAACTATTTCTTCATGGTCCAGCCAAGCTGTCACTAGTGACAGGATTTCATGCTTTCCATGACTGAATTATATTCCATTCAGCTAGCAAAAACAAAACAGACAATGGATCACATGAAACTAAAAAGCATTTGCACAGCAAAGGAAACAATCAACCAAGTGAAGAGATAGTCTACAGAAAGGGGGAAAATATTTTCAAACTAAACCTCTGACAAGGGGATGAAATTCAGAATATAAAAAGAACTCAAGAAAACTAAAGAGCAATAAATAAACAATCCAACTTAAAAATCAACTAAATATCTAAGTAGATATTTCTTAAAAGAAGTCATACAAATGGCGAACAGGAATTTTTTTTTTTATTCCTATGAATTACCCGCTGCCAAAGAATGTTTAAGTATCTCAGAACAAGTTTGATTTTTTCTTTTTTACAGCAGTACTGGGGATTATACTCAGGGCCTTTGCACTGAGCTATATTGCCAATGCTCTTTCATTTATTTTTTTTGTTTTGAAACACAGCTTTGCTAGGTTACTAAGTACTCAGGCTGTCATTGG